GTAGGGACTCCGCTTAAATGACGTCGACCGATGTATTGGGACGTTGGACAAGGAAGAAAGCGCAGCCGCCTTCCACATGGTGATGGTACCCGACAAGATGAAGTGACTGCCACAGACCGGTCACGACGTTTACAGCGTCAAGATGCCGCACCGTCTCCGCTATCGTCCAGCCTGCCCAAACGCTGAACGTGCGGACAGCATGACGCCGCTCAGCGACCAGAACTCGTACTCAGCACCCTTAGAGTACATCAAGCTGATCTCAAAAGTAAAGTACAATAGGGCGTCTGATGGACACCGTTTTCAACCCGCTTTTACCATTTGACGCGGCATAGAAGTCATCTTCAGGAAAATAAAAGCCGACGTGGTGGAGGCCAGTTCCCAAGGCGTCATCGCTTTCGTAACGGGGGAAGATGCCTTGGATGGCTGGTCAAGGTGCAAGGGGGCGCCGCCGCCGTCCTCATGGTGATGGTGCCCGACAGGAAGAACTGACTGCCGCTGACGACGCCAACAGCGTCACGACCGCGCAAGGCCTCCGCTCTGACAAAGTAAGGCCTATCAACCAGTCTTCCCATCCTTTTACACCGTTTTCAAATCATATCGACCATGTGGCCTGGCGGAGAAGTCAACTTCACCAAAACAGTTGCCGACGTGGTGAATGCCGGTTCCCACTGTGTCATCGCTACCGTGACGGCGCCGATATCCTGGGACGTTGGCCAAGGTGCAAGAAGGCGTCAGCGGCATCCTCATGGTGATGGTAAACGACAGGAAGAAGTGACTGCCGCTCACGACGACTACAGCTGAACGCCAGGCCTGACTTTGTTAAGTCGGAGGGCCTGCAACATCTGACCGCTGACGACGACGTGGGCGTCAAGCGAAACACTTGTCTGAAGACGCGAGCGATGCAGGCCTTCCCTGGCACGGCTGGGAAACTACCTGACGTGAGGTCCACGGCGACGCCGAAGACGACGAGGTGGGTGAGGTGATCGTGCAACAGCCAAAATTTCAACATGACGGCCAGGAACTCGAAGGCTTCATAGGCCCAGGCGAAGCTCGTTTGCTGACAGGTTACACCTCCTTGCACTGCGCTCGTCGTTCCGGCAGCGCTCTGCACGCTCGAACAGCAATGTCGTTTGGAGCTGCGATTACTACAGCTTAACAGAATCATAAATGAAAACAATAAGACAACGTGACAACGTCCTGACAATGAGACAACGTGACGTTGACGTCAACGTTAAATGTCGCGCCAGGTTCTACATCCCCACCTTCTATTTGAAAACCAGCTCGAAGAAGTCCAGGATCTCGTCCAAGAGATTTGTCAAAGCGGAAAACCAGCACCGTCTGGACGATGTAGGCATCGTGGATCGTGGGCATCAAAGGGCGTCACAGTTATCGTCATGGCCAACGCAAATGTAAAGAAAAAGTGTGGTAATTTTTTTGTTTAAATATAACTTAAACGGTAAACTTGATTTAAACAGAACTAGTTAGTGCAAAATATAATGCTTGAGAATCTCAGACATACCGATGAAATTAAATAAACGATTGTCTTGGTTGATGTAAAGTTTAGACTGTTCTTCATTACAAAACAACGATAAAACAAAAATAAAAAGACAAAACATGTAGCCAAGGATACCAAACATAAAGCAAGGTTAGGAAAGATTAGAAAAAAAAATACATTAAACCCAACTTAAGTGGAGACTGTTACAAGTACATCATAAATGCACAAACAATTCTCACAAGGTCAATTGCTAAACAATTACTATTACCACTAGGTAATCATCATAATATCAAAATAGGTTCTACCATTGAATTGGGCTACCAACTGATAGTTCCAAGCTCAAGTAAAACAACAGCGCTAGCGCAACCTACAGGGTCCAATAAAAAGCTAAGCCTCCAACGACTATGGATCACAGCAGAGATACTCACCGCGACAAGCTAATGACCCTAAGCTCGGAGAGTATAGCCAAACCAAAAAAATATTGTATAATTGCCATAAAGGTGCATAACATAATCTGGCGACGATCGGAAATCTTAAATATATGATAATACTGAACTCACCAAACTGTCTCATAAAAATACACAAAAAACTGCCAAAAGCGAATTTCAGATGATGATATCACATGATAAACTATGAATAATCTATAAAATTAAACAATCTAGAAAAAGCCAACTTGTATCTTAAATTTTAGAATATCACAAAGACAATACAAAAAGAAAATATAAGGCACAACAATTACAATTTTTCAAGAATAAATAGAACCTTGGTAACCATTCCAAGACTTGAAAAATTCAAAGCAAAAACTCGCCTCACATATTTGTTAGTTTCAAAATGGGTGAAGCTACGAAGGTTCCAAACATTTCATTGAACCTTTGTGAATTGAAACAGACAGAAATACCTCCAGCTTTTAAAGAAGCAGTAGAAAGAGCCCTTTTGGCTTTAGATCAAATCTGCCAAAACTGCACAGGGAACCACAAGATCTGGACAGTAGCAGGTAAT